TACTCAATCGACACATACATGAGACAAATCGCTCATGCACATTTCATCAAAGACTAAGAAGCAAAGGAAGGGGCGCGGCAAAATCACATGCGCTTGCTAGCCTCGAGGGCACGTCCCCGCGAGATCCGATTGAATTCAATGAGACAAGCAGGACAAAACCTCAGGGACTTGCAAGGATGTAGGATTTGTCAAAACATTCGTACATTCACAACGGAAATACCATAAGAGAGAGAGGGAGATAAAGATTTGGCTTGACCAACGAAGGGGAGTAAGGACAAGGAAGGAGTTGTAAGCACACAAATAGATAGAGAACCAAAAAAACAGCACTCTGCCGTGAACTTAACTTCAAAAAGAAAAAGAGGAGTCGAGGATCAAGTGAGCGCAAGCCTGCTGTTCTCTGACCATGGCCCCAGGCCATACAACCTCCCGTGCACATGCACCTTCCTTACCCTGGTACTGGCGATCCCGACCACCACATACCAACCTCGACACCACAGCGATCTCACCCCGCCAACTCAGCCTGCACACCTACTTGCCCAGATCCTGCAGGCCACCCAACACACAACCTTGCGAAACTACAGTCAGCTCATCAAATTTTCGACCTGTTGTGACTTCCCATCACCTAGCCACGAATCCCGAAAGTTGGCAGATGGGTTCAGAGAGAGTTTCTTGGGAGTGCTTGCGAGTTCCATAGTTGCGAGCAGGGGAACATAAAAGCATGGGGTGAAGACTGGGAGGGGTCAAGAGGGAGTTTGAGATGATCGCCCGCGGAAAGCCATATCGATCCCGCAGGCTCTTCGTGCAGCCAATCAGACCACTTCATGTGAGGGGAGTTTCTCCTTTGACGACGTCGATGAGTGACTTCGAGTACCTTGAGAAGGGATCGGTAAGGAGTTCCGGTATAGGAATGCAGGCGGGAAGAATATGAGTGCGAAAGTAGCGCGGAGCGGATCCAAGATTCAAACGATGATGATTGGGGGTGAAGCATGAGAGAGAGGGGATGGAAAACATTTACAGACGAAGGGACAAAGGCGCGAAGAAGAGGAGAGGGAAGATGGTACGGGCTTTAGCAGGAGGGGGAAGCTTTCGCGTACAACGCCAGTGCCTAGGAGAGAAGGACATCAAAACAGTACGTTCATCCTAAAGCTATTTTAAGAATACGAAATTCAAATGTTATACAAGTGCGCGAGATTGAGCATGCAAAAATCCTACGTGTATCCAGTTGCGAGGGAAGATGGTACGGGCTTTAGCAGGAGGGGGAAACTTTCGGGTACAACGCCAGTGCCTAGGAGAGAAGGACATCAAAACAGTACGTTCCATCCTAAAGCTATTTTAAGAATACAAAATTCAAATGTTATACAAGTGCGCAAGATTGAGCATGCAAAATCCTACGTGTATCCAGTTGCCTACTAAAAATTCACCAATCTTTCAAGGGCGGATATGGGAAGCTCTCGATGCAAGAAATGAGACGTCAACGAAAAAGACATCCGTAAATCCCAAAATTCCCAACCATTGAACAAAATTCTTAGCGCTCTCTCTAGTGCACGCTTAATTCCTACGTAAGTTCATGAATTCCGAAAGGAAATTTGCAACCAAAAAAAAGAAACGTCGGCTTGGATTCGGGAGAGCCTGGCTGGCCGACAACTTCATGCCTCGGGAATACAGCAAGAGAGAGGGGGGGAGCGGGGGAGGGGAGGGAGATGGTTCAACAAAATTTGGGGGCTTCGGAAGATAGTTCCGGTATGAGGCTCCAAACGCCCTGCGTGCCAAAGAAAAATGAACCAGCACAGGCCTCCTTATTGGCTGCTGCCGCCAGCCATTACTATTCTGCGACTGCTGACCCCCAAAAGTTGCGGCACCATGCAAGCCACATCTTTGAAAAAATGGCCGGGAAACGTATTGGTGATGAAAAAAGAAAAGATTAGCTGTAACAAGTGACAGGAATCACATGGTGATTTGTCCGTTAACGAAAAATGAATCATCGCAGGCCTCCTTATTGCCTGCCGCCGCCAGCCATTACTAAGCTCCGACTACTGACCCCCCAAAGTTGCGGCAGCATGCAAGCCGCATCTTTGAAAACATGGCCGGGAAACGTACTGGTGGTTAAAAAAGAAAAGATAAGCTGTAACAAGTGACAGATATCACATGGTGATTTGTCCATTAACTGCTACCCATGGTTGGATTCAACCCTTCAGGTCAGGAATGACGTGCTGGAAACCAAACTAGAATACGAGGGGCATTCTGTCGTGGTTGCACGACTCACATGTCAGCGGTTACCACTGACAGTTCAACTGCATTTCATGCTATACGCGAATCACCGAGGACCTCATCCACAAGGTAAAGAAACATCCTCCCTGCTGCACGATTACCGAAGAACGGCACACGGTGTGCCCACATCAGGTTGACTGAGTTTTCTTGCAATGCAGTCCAAGTTCATGAACATACTCCACCACACCCATGACGGATGAATGGGTCATTTTACATGCAACGCAAAAGGAGGATGGATCTGTTTGCAACGTGCAGCTATGCAAAAGGTCGTTAAACTGGTCCGTGCTCTTGTATATTGGGTAAATCCCCAACAAAGAACAAGACTTCCTAGCACATTCCCAATCAGAAGCACTTGCTCTTGTACATTGGCTAAATCCCCAACGAAGAACAAGACTTCCTACCACATTCCCAATCAGAAGCACGTGCCACGTGCAGCGTGCAGCTATGGTCCCAGCCTTTTTCCTAAAAATAGATCAAAATTCATCAAATGTAGTATCTGATCAGTTAAATATCTGATGCGTGTGTGGCCCATTAGACAGGACCCAAAAAAAAAAAAAAAAAAAAAAAAAAAAAAAAAGGAAAGAAAGAAAGGGTACAGTGCTACCATTGAATGTTCTGAAGGCACTGAAGTGAAAACATATTATTGATTTATTCTGGACAAGTTTTCTAGCAATGGAGGTTCAACCACCAGTACGTGGCCAAGCTATCGAAGCCAACCCTCCCAGCCCCCTGCGCACCAAGTCCTACCAAACCGCCATCGGCAGTTTTTGTTTTCATTTTGGCTGTGGCCTCCAACCAATGCGTGTTTTCATTTTGGCTGTGGCCTCCAACCAATGAGGTCCGGTAGGCCGAAGCCCGAATGCCGCGGCGCGCTAACGGGGAAGCGCCGCGGCCAATAGCTGGGCCAAGTACTGGTGGATTAATAACTACGCCAGAAGCAAGATGGCAGGCCCTGAAGCCCCAACTTGACCTCTTTCGGATGCACAAGGATATTGAGCCGGCCATTGCCTCCTTCTGCAGGGACTGGTTGGGGGGTCAAAAGAGGGGGTTGGATAGCTACAGTGGAACGGAGCGGAGGCAGGGCAGACGGCCAACAGTGGGAGATGGTAGCGTCCAGGGGCGACTGCCTGATTTTCAACGACTGGACAAGTATGCAACGGGCCTTCCCCATCGGACTTCCCGGATCCCTTCCTGTCGCACCCGCTTGCCCTCGCTTAGATACCGATGGACGCTGAGAAATGATTGCCTGATCGGTTGCCCCCTGGATTCCCGAACCAAAAACCCAATCTTTTTGCCCCCCCTGTGCCCCTCCGCAGGGCTGCAGCTGCTCTGCAGGAAACCTCCCCCAGACCACAAAGCTGGAGCTGGGCGCTCAGTCTTCGCATACCCCTTCACAGCTGTATCGACATGAAAGGAGTGCTCGCAGGCCCCTCGACAAGGCAACGGCGACCCAAGGCTTCACCTTTTTGGAGATGAGGGAAGGAGCGGGCAGCAACCTGCAGCTCTTAGACGAGGAAGAAGGCGTGCTTACTACTCTAGCATCACGTTCAATCTGGCGGTGGCCCATAGGGAAACCGAAGAGGCAAGCAGCATTCAAGTCTTCGCCGTCGGGACGACAGTGGGGATAGCCTAGAAAATCATCTGCGAAGCGGATGTAATGCATCCTTCGGTTCCAATGCATGGAATTCAGATGCGAAGCGTCAGCTCAAACTCTCACGTAAATTTTTGACAAAAGTTAGCTCAGCTCATAGGCCGTAGGCGGCGTCATGCATCTACACTTTCCATCTTCATATGCTATAGATCCAATACAACTCTCGAGGAATTCGTCCCCGGGTCATGAAAAAGTGCTGGTAGATGTACAAGTTCACCTTACTGAAATGTAATTGGCATAATCAGCAAGAAACGAACATATGTCCTGTCTCTTATACACATCTAGATGTGTATAAGAGACAGGTGCCGCACAGGTCCAAATAGGCCATGACTCCTGT